GAGCTTGAACCACCAACCTTGCAGTTCAAACAACTTTGCAGTCTGACGCATTAACCCAATTTGGTTAGTTGTTAAATGCTGTGGAGTCCGTTCAGACTCACAGAAAACCTTGTACAGTTTCAAAACAGAGGCTGGTGGGTTTGACACAGCGACCTTTCTGTGTAGACCAGTGCAGAAACTACAACGCCAGTATCCGAGGGCTTACCCGTTTGCCCTTAAGTATGAAGTAGTATTTATTGTCCACACTACTGCGTGCACACTGCTTTCACACAGTTTACCGCCTGCGACCCTCCCTAAAGCCGCCAGAGGCAGTTACACTATTATCCCTGTTTTATCGATGTTGTTGTGGGACCCGAGAATGGAAGCACACTATCCCACGATCACAAAGCTGCACAACGCGGAACTCCGCGCCCAGGTCTTTCCACCGCACCTCGTGGAACTAAGAAGGGAGTGGGGGTTACGCGTGTGGTCAGAGGTCACTCACTGTACTCCTCGGGCAGCATTAGGGGCCGGAAGTAGATGGGGTAGAAGGCAGCGCCGAGCAAGGAGATAAAGCCGCCAAAAATGAGCGCGGAGCGCAGGTTCCGGCTCATGATGCCGCTTGGGGTTTGCCCTGACGCGCAGAGCACCCCGCGACCACTGCAGCTAGCCCGGTCGTGACCCCGCTCCGAAGAGAGCGAGTTCCTTTCGCTTCCGGGCCTTGGGGGCGGGACTAAGGGAGGAGGCGAGGTAGAGGCGGGGCCTACGGGGCCGAGGCGGAGCTAGAGGCTGGGCCATGGGCTCACGCCCCGCCTCTTCCTCGCCCTAGGCGCACTGCACGGTTCAGTGCAGGTGGCTGCTAGCCGCCTGGCCATATTTCTGTGCTGGCTTCCCGGGCCCCTACTCTGCCCGCACTTCTACCCTTGACTGGTTCCTCGCAGCCGCGTCACCCACTACCCTCCAGAGCTCCTTTAGTAACCACCCTTCCTGGTTGTTACCCCCATTAGTTCGTTTTCAGTGGCTGTTCACCACAAACTGAATGCTCTTTATGCCTTACTCCTTTAATCCATCTAACTTTGGTGCCATTGAACAGGTCTATGACTTGCCTGCATGGTTTTGGCAAACTAACGTGGCCTCCTCTTCACCTCACCTGCGTGCAGGTGAGCTATGCCTGAGTAGGACCTGTCCAAGGCACTGGACAGCTTAGACTGATTCCTTTGGCCCTTACTCAATCCTGAATAAATAGGATGATACCAGGAGCTAGGGCTGGCGAGCCAGCAGCATATTTTTCTTGACCTAACAGCATTATTTTTTAAAAAGATATTCATAATGAATATTAATTCGTCTTGCAGAATTCTATCATGTGATCTCCAGCATCATTTCTATCATCAAAGCCATATTTTCCAACTACTGATCCTTCCTCCTTGTTTCCAACTTTCACATTGCAATCACCAGTAATTATTATTGCATCCTGTCTGCGTGTTTGATCAATATCAGAGTGACAACTTGGTAGAATTCAATTTCAGCATCTCTAGCTTTAGTGGTTGGTGCATAAATTTGAATAATAGTAGTATTAACTGGTTTTGCATGTTGTTGTTAAGTGCTTTCAAGTCATAGCAACCCTGTATAGGGTTTCTGAGGAGCAGCTTAGGAGTCTGAACTGCTGATCTTGTGGTTGGCAGTCTAGCACTCATCATACAGCGCCATACCAGAAGCCTTTTGGCAGTGGTGTGTCTTGCATAAGGGTCTATGGATTTTATCCTATCACACACAACATTGTACTTCAAAATTGATCTTGAAATGTTCTTGTTGACAACGAATGCGACCCTATTCCTCTGGAATTTGTCATTCCCAGAATACTAAACCATATGATTGTCAAATTCAAAATGGACAATACCTGTCCATTTCAGCTCACTAATGCATAGGATAAGAGTCCTGGATAATGCAGGTTAATGCACTGGACTGCAAAGGTTGTTTTGAAACACAAGGTTATCAGTTGCTCCTCAGAAACCCTCTACAGGGTCATTATGAGTTGGAATGACTCAACAGCACTTAACAATCTTTATATATATTTCATTTACTTTTTTACAACTTCCTGTTTTCCTAGATTCATAATTCATACATTCCATGTTCTGATTATTCATGTATGTTTGCAGCTATTTCTTCTCATTTTGAGTTGTGCTCCATCAGCAAATGAAGGTCCCGGGGGCTTTACTACATTTGCATCATCATGGTCAATTCTACTTTGAGGAGGCAGCTCTTCCCCAGTCCTATTTAGAGTGCCTTCCGACCTGAAGGGCTCATCTTCTGGCACAGTATCTGACAATATTCTTGTGATATTCGTAAAGTTTTCTTCTTCCAGCACTTATCTGACAATGTGCTAATGCTATTTATAAGATTTTCAGTTGCTAAACATTCAGAAGTATTCTGTTTCTTCTTTCTAGTCTGTCTTCATCTGGAAGCTCAGTAGAAATCTATCCATACCTGCTGGTATTTAAAATACTGCTGGCATAGCTTTCAGCATCACAGCAACATGTAAATTACCACAGTATGACAAACTGACAGATATCTTTGTAAGCAACATCAAAGAATTATGGCAAGATGTGA